TATGATGCTGCTTGGCCTGCTGTGTTCATCCAGCCCTGCACCAATATGTATCAGTAGATTATTTGTACATATCATACGTCAATATTGAATCTGTAATTGCAATACAAGGTCTTTTATATTTAAGAAAACAGGATATATTGTTGATGGTATCCTATGATACAATAGTCAAATGATATTAAAGTAGAAATGACTGGCTGAGTAATTTATGGATAATTAGCATTATATGTTACTTATATGTTTATTCTTAAATTATCTATAATGACAGAAGGAATATACACTTACCCTTTAGTGCTTCATTAATGTAGGCAGCAATACTCTCTATCCTTATGGTGTCATTTACGATATCAAGGCCAGCATATTCTGTTGGAATTCCATGCCCTGTTATGTAAATTGGAATGTTGGTACCCGTATACTCATGGGTAACAAAATTTAATAACCTTCTTAAGCCCCAGGGCACGATGTATATCCATGGAGATACAGTTGAGTGCCATGAATTGTCAACCTGTGGAGAAAAGTCTCCAATACGGTTGTAATCCGAAACGCATATTTTGTTGGTGGTAGACTTGACTAGTCGAGAGGTGTAGTGACTGAGTCCAAAAAAATCTGAAGTTCCATTTATGTATTGTTTTTCCTTTTCTGTAAATGACGGAAAATGGACAGGAGCAGAAGGACATTCCTGATTATATTTTTTTATCTGAGCTTTTAAGGTTTCTGGATAGTCACCATTAACAAAGATTGGATGAGCAAACCAGCCCAACATAAACTGCAGGTATCGATCAGCTGTTTGAACATCTTCTGGCTTATTAGGGGAGCTAGGTTCAGCCCAGTCTGAATTCAATGCTATTCCTACTTGACCATGCTGCTGAGAACGGTAGTTTTTGTCGTAAGTGTGCCAAGCATTGGCATGGGCCTTGATTATAGATTGGGCCACCTTATAGGATGCATTAGTTGGATCACTGATTCCAGGTGCATGCTGTCCTGTGCCATAGCCAGCATAACTAACTACCCAGGGCTCATTAAATGTGATCCAGTACTTCACACGGTCTCCAAAGGTAGCGAAACAAAAATCTGCATAATCACTAAATGCTTTTATGATGTCCTCATTCTGCCATCCACCAATATCTTGCAGAGCTTGGGGAAGATCCCAATGATATAAAGTTACCATTGGCTGAATATTGGACTCCAACAGGCTGTCAATTAATTTGTTGTAATAGTCTATTCCATCTTGGTTCTGTTTAGTCCGATTGCCTGTCGGGAAAATTCTAGACCATGATAAGGAGAACTTATAAGAGTTAATTTGTAAACCTCTCATTAAATAAACATCATAATCAATTTTATGGAAGCTATCACAGGCAATATCTGCTGTCTGGTTTTTTTCTACTTTTCCCTCATGAGCAAACCTGTCCCAAATATTTTCTCCTTTCCCCTGTTCTGCCCAGCCTCCCTCAATTTTAAATGAGGCAGTAGCTGTGCTCCATAGAAAAGTACTGGGAAAAGTACCAATTAGGAAGGAGTCCCTCTCTGCGTTTGATTGTACAGAAAACTTTTCCCAAACAGTCTCATAAGCTGAAAGGCGAGATGTTCTATGAAGTTGGATATCACTGTTATGTTCTGCCAGCTCATCTTCACTTCCTTCTTCCATTGGAGAAAAGTTGCTGAAAACGTGAGATAAAAGAAAGGTTAAACCACTTAAGAAATCCCGTTAACGCAAAACACTGAGTTTCACTATTTTAGTAAAGCGAGGATAATGTCTAGATTTGGAACAGAAGGCATGGAAGACTTACAGCCCAAACTTTCATAGCTACTGCTCCTCTTCAGATATCTGCCCAATTAGAAGCAGGAGCATATGCCAACCCAAATCACAGTTGGGATGGGGGAAGCAACATTTAAATGTTTGACTGGGCAGCCAGTCAAACTGATACACGTATCAGTTACCTTGCTCCAACTGCCCCTCGGAAAATCGGAGCTCAATCTGCAGATCTGAGGATGGAAGCTGGAGGTCCTTAACAGATTAAAGATAGAATTCTTGCAACAACAGCTTTAATTTATAAAGCATCTTTGTCACAGAAAATATCTCTAGATTCTTTGCTGAGATGTACGATAACATAAATGAATGCCAAGCCACTAAATTGAACAAAAGTTAGATTAGAGTTGCTGTAAGGAAATTATTCAATGCACAGAGGTAGATATTTGATGGTTTTTTTTGTGAGGGAACCCCAGGGCATGGGCCTACATAGCAACAACACGCAAATGAGAGTTTAGTTTATATATTATGTTGAATGTGATAATATTTCACTGTGAGATTCACAGGAGTATTATAAAGCAAAATTTGATCTTGACTTACATTTGGATGAGTGGGGTAGATGGCCAAAGGCTTGGTAAAAGAGGTAGGTTTTAAGAAGTGTTTTAAGGGAGGAATGTGAGGTGAAGAGAAGCGAAGAGGTGTAGTAGGGTACAGACCTTAGCAGCTGAAGGCAAAGACACCAATGACAGCATGATTAAAATCAGGAATGCTCAAGAGGCCAAAATTAGAGGAACAAAAGTCTTTGAGAGTTGTTAGGTTGGCGAGAACAACAGACTTTTACGAAAGGGTGGAGATGGCGGGGTGGTACTGTAGAATGATGTGAAAATAAGATTGAGAATTTTTCAAAGTTGAGGCATTGATGGGTGATTGGAAAGTGATAAAGTCACAGTCAACAGAATTTTGGATGGCCTCAAGTTTATACAAGGTAGAATTTGGGAAGCTAGCCAGGAGTACATTGGGATATTCAAGGGTCAGTGTAACAAAAGGATAGATAAAGGATTCAGTCACTGCAGCAGGTACAAAATTGGATGACAAGAAGTAGGCCACCTTAGTGGTGCTGTGAAAATATGCTTGGAGGTGCTTGTCAGGGTCAAAAGTGACACCAAGTTGAAGATGAACCAAAGCTATTGAAGGACAGAAAGAAGTACAAGATGCGAAAATCAGATGAGATATGGTAGAATGTTTGTGGGGCTGGAGGAGTTTACGGAGATAGGAACCAAAGAGGGCATAGAGGCATTTAAATGTAAGGATGAGATCTTGAACATGAAAATGCTGGTGTGTTGAGGTAAATTTAGGTCAGCAGAAAGAGGGATATGTGAGTGAAACTTGCTATGGTTTAAGATTTGAGAATCAAAGTTTTACACAAGCTGATGTTTATGGAGTCTAAGGGATGAGATAAGGGAGAGAGCACAGAAATTGTTAACTCCAGAGGCTGCAAAGATATAGATTTGGGTTTCAGTTGCAGAAAGGCTGAAATAGGGATAAAAACACTAATTCAGGCACATACCAATTTCTACGTCAACCAGTTTTACACGTTTTTAAAAGTAGAATTTATTTGCTTGGAATGCTGTGAATCAATCACAGAAACTTTTGCCCTGGCTAAGATGCGAAGCACAATTTCACTTAGCACTAACAAGATTTTTCAAAATTCCACAAATTTATTTCTCATTTACAAAGAAATTCCCAACACAATCATGCGGATTTTAAAATATTTTATAATTTAATTACCTTTCATTATCCAAGTTGCTTCTTTGGTAATGAAGTGGCAAATGGTCCAGGAAGTGACTAACATCATAGCCAATCATTGACACTTCATTATTATTTAGAGCTTTCAGTGAGAGAAAGAAAATGTTAAGAATTGAACTTACAAAACTTTGAATAGAGATATGCAATACTTACTAATACAAAAATAAAACTCTATTTAGGACTCTATATAACACTATTTATTAGATTCTCAGTTGTTAACAAAGGGTTAAATTGCCCAAGCCCAGGGCCACCAGTAAAATGCACCTAAAAGCAAAAAAGAGTGTGTACAATCATTTCAATATACGTGTAGATCAATATAATATGATTTGCTTTCTTAAAGCACATGTGTAGACAAATGTGTGACTTGGATTGGAATGGAATAGGTAGTGGTATTGAGGTTTAGGGGTTGTGCAGAGTTGCAAAGGAGACTTGAGTTGCCATCATGTCCAGGAAGTTGAAGAACCTTCACCTACCTTTTACAACTTCAGTGAACGTAGCTCTGTTATACTCTGTGCTGCCTATGGCTGACACAGCACATTGTGAAAAGTCTAAGCTAAAGATCAAAATCTGTAAATGTTTGTTGATGCTCTGAAAAGTGAAAAAATAAATTACTATTACTGTATTTACTTTCCCATTGCTTAGCAAACTGATCCATTGAAACCTGAATTGCAAAATATTTTCCAAGATGTCAATGAAGTTAAAAACAAATTTTATTGTGTACAGTAAATTCTATGGTAGGTACTTGTGTCAAGATAAACTCTTATGACTGTTAAGTCTGACTGGACTTGGTCACAAGGTATATAAAAGGCTCTAAACTCAGGAGATTTGAAGTTATATTATCTGGGATGCCAATGCCAGTAAAACAGGACAGTAATGACAGAATAAAAACCGAAAAAAAAACCCGAAAGAACTGCGGATGCTGTAAATCAGAAACAAAAACAAAGTTACTGGAAAAGCTCAGCAGGTCTGGCAGCATCTGTGAAGGAAAAAACAGAGTTAACGTTTCTGAACTGAAGAAGGGTCACTGGACCCGAAACGTTAACTCTGTTTTTTCCTTCACAAATGCTGCCAGACCAGCTGAGCTTTTCCAGCAACTTTGTTTTTGTTCCAGTTACGACAGAATATCTGTCAGTCAGAGGAGCTGAATGTCTTCAAGGTGATGATAGCTTTTCGACAAAAATTTACACTTAAAAGTTCGAAGAAGTGCTGAATGCATTTATCCACATTTTGGTAGATCCATTATGACACCACAAACAAGAGGCAGATATCCTGTGTTATATATTTAGGGCGGCATGGTGGGTCAGTGGTTAGCACTGCTGCCTTACAGTGCCAGGAACCTGGGTTTGATTCCAGACTTGGGTGATTGTCTGTGTGGAGCTTGCACATTCTCCCCGTGTCTGTGTGGGTTTCCTCTGGGTGCTCCAGTTTCCTCCCACGTTCCAAGGGTAGGTACAGGGTAGGTGGATTGGCCATGTTAAATTGTCCATAGTGCCCAGGAATGTTTGGATTAGACATGGGAATGGTCTAGGTGGGATGCTCTTCAATGGGGCAGTGTGGACTTTTTGGGCTGAATGGCCTGTTTCCACACTGTAGGGATTCTATGTTTATAACCTGTCTCTATGTCACAGTCGTGCCAGGCAACTCCTGGCTCCCAACAACCAGCAATTTTAAATGCCTCAGGTAGGGGAATACAGATACATTTCAATTGAATGCATCATTGCCCTTCTGCAGTCCCTTCTAGAGTAATTGATTGCAATAGGGAAACCACGAAATTTAAAACTGACAGCCTTCCTAATTCTCTAGACATCTTGGACTGACACTAGTGCCCAGGCAAGACTGTCTCTGCTGAAAAAGATTGCTGCACCATAGATGGCATGAGCACCTGGCCAAAATATCCTCTTATCGCTCATCTTGGTAAGTGGGCCAGTGTCAGGGTTAGGGTCAGGCTGCAAACAATAGGTGTGCAGAACCAAAACATCATGACTATTCTGAACACGTGAAATCTTTGGAAATTCAACATTGTGGAGATTAAAAAAAAAACTACAGCCAGAAGTGGTCCCCAGGTTTATTCACAAATACTACAAGATTTTACCAGTGGTCACTAATGCTTGAAAGAGGAGTTGAGACAATTTCAAACAACTGTCTGCACTGTGACTGGCTCAGTTATGTGCATCAGGTTCTGAATAAGGCAGTTGTTCAAATGCAAAAGCCTTAAAAACTGTCAAAGTATGTTAACCAACTGAAAGCATTGAGTAGTACTGAGTAAAATTGGTTGGGACCTTCACATAAATTTGATTATCTAGTTCCTTGTACTCTGCTTTTTCCCACAAATGCTGCCAGACCTGCTGAGTTTCACTAGCAATTTCAGCTTTTGTTTCAGATCTCCAGAATCTGAAGTTCTTTATTTTATGTTATTTAGATTAGAATATAGACTGTGGACATTTACTTTGTTTGGTCGGTACTTTTTCTTTTATATCAGTACATTTAGAATGCTTACAACCAATTTTTATCAATTTCCACTAATAAAGATACATTATTTGTGATGAAAAATACTTCCCACCATTTCAGGAAAATGATCCAAAGTTTTTCTAAACCAATGGCTGAATCTTCCCATTTTTTTTTGTTTGCGAGACCTAACCTGTTTTCCTGCACCATCATCCTGAACCCACCTCATTAACAAGCTATCACACCCCCATGGTAGCCCTCTCATCAGATGCTAGTCCAATTCTCCTGCTCGCTGTAGCCAGAAGGACTCACCTCCGCTAGGGTTTCCTGAGATATACTAGCAATACGCAAGTGCTGGGGCCACATTTAAAAGGATATTGCACACGCAGTCAAAGGTTCAGTTTTGCAAATTTTTGGCTGTCGCTGTGCTAGTCTCCAATTACCACTCATTGTGTATTTGATGTTAAGAATGATTATAGAATGTTTGCATTTCTTTGTTTACAAGAAATCATATATTTTCATGCTAGTGATAAAATATGGAATAACAATTTTTGAATTCCATCAGCTAATTTTAATATCTGAAACTTCCATGGACTGAAATACTTTTTAGAAAGGAACAAACATTGACTGAAAATGACTCAGCAAATTACTGGTTATACAGGTTAGCCAAGATATAGGAAATCAATGTTGAATAAACAAAATGATCTGAACTGAGATTAACATTGTATCAGAAGGCACCAAAACCAGTCCATCAGTCATTCATGAAGGAATCCTACTTCTGCTGTTTTGATTTAAACCTGTATGATTAGTTTCACATATTGGAGATGAAAGACATCATCAAGCTTGGAAACATTGAACTCAGACATAGAAATGCACACGTCAGCTTGCATTTCATGGAATTGCTTTTGGTAGAGCTAGGGAGATAGTTTTGTGATTGCAGAACTGGAGATATATCTGTCACTCTCTCTCTCTCCCCCTCGCTCTCTGCCTCTCAAAAGATAAAGCACATGGTGACTGCCCAACTTTGAAAAAAACATGCAGACATTGAGAAAGTAGCAAGATCTGCAATATTTGCTACTGTCGAAGATACTAGACATTAATTAAGCAACAGTGGTCTAAGTTAAACCATTTATGCAGCCAAGGTTAGCAGATAATAAAATTGCTCTTTCCTTCACTCAACAAAATCTTGAAATTGGCTCTTACTGATATAATAAACTTTGAATAACTACATTTTTATGAGAAAGAGGTATAGCTGCATGCTAAAAAGAATGTGCAATCTTTTTTACAGCCAACCAAGGCAGTTGAAAAGCAATGAGCCAATTAATCCTTGCTCAACCCACCATAACAATATTTTTATTTCAAATGAACGGTACCTTCACTTTTGTCAGCTTTTCTGATATGGAATCTCTATTTGCTTTTAAGGTTTCATCCCTTAAGGAGTCAATCTGGAAGAACGAAGATTTCTGATCTGTTACTGGGCAGAAAATTCTATTACAAAATTATCAGATGTTAAGGTTTTGTGTGAACCATGTGCAGAAAATCTTCGACCAATTCAGTTTTACAGTTTATTTTGATAGACATTCCAAATCTCAAAATTATAATTTTAAAGCTAAATTTCAACTGGATTCATTTATTTCCACTGTGGTTAGAATTGAGTGTGCTTTACATATAAATATAGTTCCTGGTGCTTGGATTTTATAATAGTAGCATATGGATGGGTTACATAAAAATAAACAAGGTCAGACAATTCTTCTGGAACAGTGTTGTAATTCAGTATGTGTTAGTGAGAAGGGACGTTCTGGCATGTTAATGGAGAATTATTTTTAATTGTGATGGTTTATGTCAGGTGGGGTACACATTGAAGATTATTAATTTTTTTTATTCATGATAATCAAGAATTGACTATAGCTTAGAACTCTCGGAAAGTGGAAGCTTTTAGCATAGTTTGGAGGAGACCTGACTGAGTTCTCTCCTATAAAGGAGTATTGGATAGTTCAGGGAAAGTACAATACTTGAATAAAAATGTTTAGGTTGTGAAACTTCCAAACCAGGAAAGAAACCTGCAGGTTATGAAAACCTGACAACATCTAAGCTGTTTGCTTTGTGAGTATCCTTTTTAGGAAGACTTCACAGTTTACAAGAAAGTATTGGTTGGTGAGAATCAATTACATTGAACCTAAAGATTGTTATAGAGTGGTAATTTCTTTGGATTTGTGTATCTCAATTCTAATGGATAATGTTGCAAAACAGGAAGGGACTTTGTTTGGGTATGCGTTTTAAAGACTTTTCATATTGTTTTACATATATTGATTATTTTGATTATTTTAGTTTTCACATTTTGTGTAGTAAACTTCTGTTCTGTTGTTAACAAATCTCTTCAGCCTTGTGTGACCATGTTTCAGTGGTTGATGCCATGTTAACTTAAATTAAAAAAACACGTGATCTATCAAGCCAGGTTTTATTCTGGAATCTGATTTGTCCGCTAGTACCATCAGCTGGGATCATTGTATTGTATGAATCTTGCCTGACTTTGAGCCCATTGTCAGAGTACAGAGAGAGGTGTTTGACTGGTTAACTGCATTTGGAAGAATGGAAAATCTAACGGGCCAATGTCATGCACAAAATCTCACAATTGCTAGTTAGGTTAGTGGAGCAACACTGATGACTGCTCTTAATGCTAATGATATGAAGCACCCTATATATTTGCCCAGAGGTGGAAGCCTAACATTTTGAGAAATAAATGTTGAATTAATTGTTTTCAATTGAAATATTCCCTATATTCTAAGTTTATATAAAATTTATCATTTATGATTATTTTCTTCACGACATCTGAAATGAATTTCAATCCTTCTTTATGTCTTGGTGAATATCCAAGTATTTGTGAAAAGAAATATATCTTTGTTACCTTAGAAGGTATTTTACCTGTAAATAAATATTCAAGTATCATTATTTAAGTTTTTGTACTGTATGACACCTTACATCTTACCTTGTGATTTGATAAGCAATCATCTAATACAGCAACAGCAATCAAATCCACCATTCCCTGTAAGTGGAAACGAAGTAAGTTACTATCCAATTTCTAAATATACTTAATTCTTTCTGAAATTCCCATCTACACTATTTATAACTTCTTCCAAAAGACTTATGATGCAATAATCATTATCAAGCCCAGAGGAAGCAAACATTATTTGATTGAAAAGTCCTAATTTTTAAAAAGAGTTTACACCTTCCACATTTTACTTGAAACAGAGTGCATGGAGTGGAAGTTATGAGTATTAGAGAGTCACAATGACACACAACCGGGATTTTCCCATGGAAGATGTGAATTTGGAGTTCAGGCTGAGACAGAGTCACTATCCCACCTCTAACTCCATGCTGCCAAAATTTTGAGATCCCCACAGCCTAAAAGATGGGTCTGCCATCCAATTATGAAGATCTGAGACGGAAAAAAGGGTTGATTGCTAAATGGGCAGATGAAAAATCTCACCTTTGCGCCTATTCACTCCAAGATAAAGCAGACAAGATAGCAGACCCACCTCCTAGGTCCCACTGGAGAAATGTCCAGGACTTGGACGAAAAGGTGTGACAACCAAGGAGAAATGTAGCAAAAAAACTATTGTTCCCCAAAGGTTTTGTTTAATTCCAAAAAGAGTCAAGGCTTTGTGTTCCTTTTTTTCGTTTATGAATGTATATGTTGCAATCATAAATTAACCACATTGTGAGCTAAAATGATAATCTTAAATGGCTTGTTAGTGTAATTCGCAGCATATTCAGGATTATTCAATAAGTGATGGCAAATTACAGAATCATATTCAAAATTATATGTTACATTCGGAGTCTTAAAATATGGACTGGTAGAGTGTGATCACTACTTAGTCTTTTGCAAAGGACCAGAGGGACATGCAGTTTGATATGATCGATTAGTTATTGGAACATACAGCCTGCATACCTGGCAGACTGAGTCATTTGTTCACTATGCAGAATTGATGTCAAAATGAAGCACATTAAATGTACCCTGATCAGATCACTGCTTATCGTGTATCACACATATACATGAATGGGCACACTTTTGTCCCTTACGTGTTCATTCTACCTCAAACTGCCCTGCAGGAGCAAGGTTCTTCAATAATTTGAGTAACAGCTGAAGCTAGCCATGAAAAGCTGCTAGAACACAGAAACAACACATCAGATTTTTCATTGTCAGATTGCTGCGATCAAGCATAAGATAGATTCTGCCTATCACTTGAATTTTGGTGCCAGTGTGATGTTTTCTGATGCATTTTCCAGAGCAATGTCCCAACCAATCAGCATCAACTTGCCAACCAATCAGCACCTTTTCCTTAAGGAATATAAACTGCTGCACCTTTTGATGTTGGGCATTCTTGCATCTGTCCTGATGAGTACAGGATGAAAATTTTCAATATCATGCCTCTTTTTTTCTCAGCAATATGCATTTTCTGGATTAATTAAAATACAGTTGTGTTTATCTCACCTTAACTGTAAATGAACTCACAAAGTGAGATCACAAATTGTGAATATGACCCAATGTATCATGAGAATAGCACTTGTCACTGATCTGCCAATAAAATCAAGATACAAACAATTATCTTAGTTTTCCCACCAGTTAGGAGTGAAACTAAAAGGTAGGACCTCAAAGATAGTAATCTCAGGATTTCTACCAGTGCCAGGTGCTAGCCAGAGTAAGAATGGCAGGATAACTAAGATGAATACATGTCTTGAAGAATGGTGCAGGAGGGAGGGATTCACATTCTTGGGACTTTGGAACTGGTTCTGGGGGAGGTGGGACCAGCACAAACCGGATGATCTGCACCTGGCCAACACTGGAACCAATGTCCTATGGGGACTGTTTGCTAGTGCTGTTGGCGAGGATTTAAACTAACATGGCCAGGGGATGGGAACCAATACAAGAAGTCGGAAAGAAGTGGGGGCAGAAACAAAGGACAGTAAGGGGAAAAGTGAAAGTGGAAGGCAGAGAAACCAAAGACAAAAATCAAAAAGGGCCACATTTCACAATGATTCTAAAAGGCAATAAATGTCAAAAAAAAAGAGCCTGAATACTCTGTGTCTCTATGTGAGGAGCATTTTTAATAAGGTGGATGAATTAACTACGCAAATAGTGATAAATGGATATGATGTAATTGGGATCACAGAGACCAGGCTCCAGGGTGACCAAGGATGGGAACTCAATGTCCAGCGTTATTCAATTTTCAAGAAAAGTAAAGGGAGGTGGGGTAGTGTTGGTGGTTAAGAAGGAGATTAACACAATAGTAAGGGAGGATATTAGCTTGGACAACGTGGAGTCAGTATGGGTGAAGCTGTGGAATACCAAAGGGAAAAAGACGTTAGTGGGAGTTGTGTACAGACCACCAAACAGTAGTTGCTGGGGACTGTATCAAACATGAAATTAGAGATGCATGCAGTAAGAGTACAGCAGTTATTATGGGTGACTTCAATCTACATATTGACTGGACTAACCAAATTGGTAGCAATGCGATGGAGGATCATTTTTTGGAATATGTGAGGGATGGTTTCCTCAACCAATGTGTCGAGGAACAATGAAAGAGCAAGCCATCCTAGACTAGGTATTGTGTAATGAGAGATGATCAATTAGCAACATTATGATGTGAGATCCTTTGGGGAAGAGTGACCATAACATGGTAGAATTCTTCATTAAGATGGAAAGTGACACAATTAAATCTGAAACTAGGACCCTGAACTTAAAGAAAGCTAACTTTCATGGTAGCAGCAAGCATTGGCTAGGATAAACTGGCCAAAGATATTTTAAGGGGTTGACAGTGGATAGGCAATGGGAGATATTTAAAGAACACATGGATGAACTTCAACCATTGTACGCCCCTCTCCGGTGTAAGAGTAAAATGGGGAAGGTAGCTCAACCATGCTTAACAAGGGAAATCAGGAATAGTGTTAAAGCCTAAGAGGAGGCATATGAATTGGCCAGAAAAAGCAGCAAACCCAAGGACTGGGAGAAATTTAAAATTCAGCAGAGGAGAACAAAGGGTTTATTTCAGAAAGGGAAATAAGAATATGAAAGTCAGCTTGTGGAAAACATAAAAACTGACTATAAAAGCCTCTATAGATATGTGAAGAGAAAAAGACAGGTGAAGACAAATGTAGGTCCCTTGCAGTTAGAATCAGGTGAACTCATAATGGATAACAAAGAGATGGCAGACCAGTTGAACAAATACTTTGGATCTGTCTTCACTAAGGACGACACAAATAATCTTCAGGAAATGCTAGGGAACAGAGTGTCAAGCATGGAGGAGGAACTGAAGGAAATCCTTATTAATCAGCAAATGGTATGGGGAAATTGGTGGGATTAAAACCCGATAAAGTGCCCAGGACCTGATGCTCTGCATCCCAGAGTACTTAAGGAAGTGGCTCCAGATGTAGCGGATGCATTGGTGATCATTTTTCAGCATTCTGTAGACTCTGGAAGAGTTCCAATGAACAGGAGGGTAGCTAATGTAACTCCACTCTTTTAAAAAGGAGGGAGAAAGAAAATGGGGAATTATAAGTCGGTTACCTGACATTGGTGGTGGGGAAATGCTGGCGTTAATCATTAAGGATGTAATAACTGAGCATTTGGAAAGCGGTGACAGAATTGGTCCAAGTCAGTATGGATTCACTAAAGGGAAATTATGCTTGACAAATCTTCTGGAATTTTTTGAGGATGTGACCAGTAGAGTAGACAGTGCTCAATCAGCAGATATTAAGTATCTGGATTTTCAAAAGGCTTTTGACAAGGTTCCACACAGGAAATTAGTAAGCAAAATTAAAGCTCATGGTATCGGAGGTAATGTATTGCCATAGATAGAGAACTGGTTGGCAGACAGGAAGCAGAAAGTTGGAATAAACGGGTCCTTTTCAGAGTGGCAGGCAGTGATAAGTGGGGTGCTACAGGGTTCAGTGCTGGGACCTCAGCTGTTCACAATATACGTTAATGATTCAGACGAAGGAATTGAATGCCATATCTCCACATTTGCAGATGACACTAAGCTGTGTGGCAGAGTGTGCTGTGAGGAGGATGCTCAGAGGCTGCAGGGTGACTTGGACACTGGCTGAATGGGCAAACACTTGGCAAATGCAATATAATGTGGATAAATGTGAGGTTATCCACTTTGGTAGCAAAAACAGGAAGGCAGATTATTATCTGAATGGTGGCAGAATAGGAGAAGGTGAGATGCAATTAGATCTGGATGCCATGGTGGAACAATTGCTGAAGGTTAGCATGAAGGTGCAGCAGGCAGTGAGGAAAGCTAATGGCATGTTGGCGTTCATAGTGAGAGGATTTGAGTATCGGAGTAAGGGATGTCTTGCTGCAGTTATACAGGGCCTTGGTGAGGCCACAGCTTGAGTATTGTGTGCAGTTTTGGTCTCTTAGTTTGAGGAAGGACATTCTTGCAGTTGAGGGAGTCCAGCAAAGGTTCACCAGATTGATTTCCGCGATGGCAGGACTGACATATGAGGAAAGACTAGGTCGATTGGTCTTGTATTCGCTGGAATTTAAAAGAATGGGGGGGAGTCTCATAGAAACGTATAAAACCTGATGGGACTGGACAGGCTAGATGCAAGAAGAACGTTCCCAATGTTGGGAAAGTGCAGAACAAGGGGTCACAGTCTAAGAATAAGGAGTAAGCAATTCATGGCTGAGATGAGGAATAATTTCTTCACTCACAGACTTGTGAACTTGTGAATTCTCTCCCACAGGAAGCTGATGGGACCAATTAATTAGATATATTTGAGAGGGAGCTGCAGTGGCCCTTGTGGCTAAAGGGATCAAGGGGTATGGGGAGAGGGCGGGAATGGGACGCTGAGATTTCATGATCAGCCATGATCATATTGAATGGTGGTGCAGGCTTGAGGCGTCGAATGGCCTATTTCTGCTTCCATTTTCTATGTTTCTATGTTTCTATTCGGTATTGGCCTTGAAATGATACCTGCATTATTTAACTAATCCACAGTGTAATTTCAAGTCGACTATCGATAGGAAGGGTCTAGGCCCGAAACGTCAGCCTTCCTGCTCCTCTGATGCTGCTTGGCCTGCTGTGTTCATCCAGCTCTACACCTTGTTATCTATTGATAGGAAGGCATTGGCAAATGTATTGTAACACGGTCACTTTTTGATAGATGCATTTTCTAAAGGAACAAGCATTCAAGTTTGATATTTCACCTCATTGATAACTTGCCGAAATGTCTGGAACATATCATCTGTAGAAATGACGTCGTTAATGTTCAAAACAATGGACAATGTTCCTTCTGCAAATAAAAATAAAAATGAATCTGGATTCAATTCTGTGAAAGATTTTACGTTTGTTGCCACTTTACCATTCACAATTTCCAAAAGATAGAACAAAATTGTTGTTAATACTGATCTCTAACCACTTGCATTTATACAGTTCCTTTTCTGCAATAAAATCTCCCAAGAAACATATCAGAAAGTACACTTTTAATCAGTTGTAAAATTAAACCCTTAGTCATACCTGAATCATGGAAGGCATGAGGAATTTTATTTTGTTGAACTTTATTAAACTGTCATACATCAGAATTCTTGACCTTAGACTTTGACAATAAAGAGTGTGATTATTATTGCCTTGTATTTGCATGACCATAATCACGAACAGGATTAAGTGTTGCACAGCAATGTTACTTCACAAAATGATAAGATAAATATGGATAAGGACATCATTGTTCCAGTTCTACCTCTCCCATCTTGAAGAACTATAATTTCTTAAATAAAAATAGAAAATGCGAAGAAACACTGAGCAGGTCAGGCAACATCTGTGGAGTGAGAAAAGGTTTCTTAACCCAACTAAAGTGTTAACTCTGTTTCTCTTTCTGTTGAGCTTTTGCAGCATTTTCTGTTTTTATTTCAGATTTCCAGCAGACACAGTATTCAGATTTTTTTGCTTATGAACTGTTGTTGCTTCTACTTTTTATACCTTGCATAATTCCAAGGTTTTCAGGTAATTCCATGTATTGGTCATTTTTCCTGAAGAGCTTCTTGACATTATAATGTTCGCTTTGGTCAGTTGGTAATAATTCTGCCTGGGTCAAAGTTTTGAAGCATCCAACCCCAATCCGCAAGCAAAATTTTGATAGCTCTTTGGGATGGACTGGGAGGAGGGACGATTGACATATCAGCATATGAAAACTACTGGCCTGTAGTTTTCTGTTCTCTTTCTCCCTCCCTTTTTGAATAGATGAGTTACACTTACAATTTTCCAATCTAATGAAACCTACCCCAAATCAAGGGAATTTTTGGAAAATTAAAATCAAGTCTCCAGGCTGAGGTCCATCAGTATCCAAGGACTTGTCAGCCCACAACTCCAAGAATTTGCTCAGTACCACTTCCCTTGCTGATTGTAACTTGGTCGAACGTTGCCCTCCTTTCCTGATATAACACTGTTTCCAGAGTGTTACAAATATCTTCTATAGTAAAGACCAATACAGAATACCTGCTCCATTCATCTCTTTATTTTCCAATATTAATTCCCCAGATTCACTTTCTTAACTCTTCTCTGTTGTTTACTAGCTATAGAAACTTTTACCATCTGTTTTAATGTCTCGCCAGCTTTTTCTCCTCCTCTAATTTTTCTGCCCTTATCAATTAATAGTTATTCCTTGCTTCTTTTAATATTCTGTCCTGCTGCCCATCTTTGCACAATTACATACTTTTTCTTTAATGTGCTATCTTTAACCTTTCTACTTAGCCTCAAATGATGGGTCTCACACTTGGATTTTTTTTTCTTTCTTGTTGGAATGTTTCTATTTTGGGTTTCTTAAATGTCTGCCACTTTATCTCTATCTCTGTTCTTTAACCTAATTTGCCAATGTACTTTAGCTAGTTCTTTCCTGACCTTACAATTTTCCTTATTTAAATTTAAAATATTAGTCTTAGATGCATTGCCATTTGCTCAAAATGAATTTAAAATTTAATCATATAATGGTTGCTTATCATATAATGTTACTTAGAGGTATCTTCACCATGGGGTCATTAATTAATTTTACCTCACTGCATGTTGCCAGGTCTGGTAGAACCTGATCTCTCTTTGGCTCCAGAATGTGATGTTCTAAGAACCCATCCTGAAGACACTTGATGAACTGCTCATGTGCATGCATATGCTCATCTGTATTTAGGTTATTCCTTTCTATTGTGCTAATACTATAGTTAGTTAACAGAGCCACCCCTCCATCTGCAATGCTTTTGCATTATCCAGTACCCATTCCCCTCATGTACAGGATTCCAGCTACATTAGAGGTCAGAAGCCCCCAACAAAACCCTTTGTCCCCTCTCCCCACTAACCCACAGGCACTGGCGATCTCAAGAGTTCAGGACCCACCCCTCTGACCCACAAGATGCCTGTGACTTCAGAGCCAAACACTGTCTCCACTCACTGAGGTGGCAGCCAAAACAGCAGAGCTGTTAAACTCCACCTAAACTCATAGCCAGCCACAGGGATTATTTGCACCTAACTGTAGCCAATGTGGCTACGAACAAACAAAGGCCCAAGCAGGCAGCTCAAAACCCAATGAGCGAAGGCCATTCAGCATAGCTCCCTGGCAAGGCCCAACTCCTGGCTTTACTGTTGGAGAGTGCACTGTAGGAAGTACAGTAATTAATATATTACATTTTTCTTTTTCACAGGAAATATTCAAAATTACTTTATTTTAACAGTTTTATTTACCAATGTAGGAATTTAATTGTTTAAAATACTGTATTTCAACTTAGAAGCATAATGTCGTAATTCATTTCTCTGCTCAGGTAGACCCAATGAAAAGCCTTCAGTTCTGAGGAAGGGTCACTGGATTTGAAACATTAACTCTGCTTTCTCTCCACTGATGCTGACTGACCTACTGCATTTTCCCAGCAATTTCTGATTTTGTTTCTAATAGAACCTAACTAGCCTTAACTTTGATTCTTACAGGAATCTTACTTAAAATTGCAATTTGTAGGAACACAACCTTGACTTTAAGTGAGGATACCTTAGATATTACCCACAATCCATCTGCTCTAATTTTGCTTGCTAACCTCTTGTGTGGGATCTTATCAAAAGCGTTTTGAAAATTCAAATATTTATTGTTTTGCCTTTACCTATTTTGTAGTTACATCCTCAAAAACTTCAACACCTTTATCAAACAAGATTTTCCCTTCATATATCAATACTGATTCTGCCAAGTCCCACCACTAATTTCTAAGTGTCTCATCTCCACATTCTTTACAATTGATTGTAACATTTTCCCTATTATTGATGTCAAGTTGACAGGTCTGTAGTTCCTCATTTTCTCTCTCCCTCCTTCCTTAAATGGTGGTGTTCTCTTTTCTACTCTCCAAACCGCAGAAACCATTCCAAAATCTAGAATTTGCAAGTTGACATCCATTATCTCCACAGCCACCTCGTTCAATACCCTTAGATATTGATCATCAGGTCCATGGCATTTGGCATTTTTCCATCCCATTAATTTCTGCATTCCTACATTTTTTAAGAACACTTTTTTTTGGATTCTCCTTTCTTGTTAATCCCATTGGTTTTCTGGTTTTCCTTGCTCTTTGAAGACATATGCACAGTCTTTTTTAGTATTTTTTAAAAAATTAGTTTTTGGCTCTCCATTGCAAAATTCTAAAATCCTCAAATTGCTTCTTTTTTTTGGCAATTTTATAAGCCTCTTCCTTAAGTCTAATACAATCCATTACTTCTCTTGTTAGATGTAGTGTGATCACCTTTCTTGATGGGTCTTTGTGCCTCAAAGAAGTATAAATTTGCTGTAAACAATTTATTAATTCTTGGAATGCTAATCATTGTCTGTCTATCGTATCTTTTAATGTAGTTTCCTATTCAACCACAGCCAAATTACCCCTTATACCTTTGTAGTTTCCTTTGTCTAGATTTTAAGACTCTGATTTTGGACTGAACCATGTCACTTTCAAACATAATATAGAAGTCAATTGTAGTGTAATTATTCTTTCTTAGAGGCTCTTTGATGAGTCTATAAATTACCTGTGAATCGTACACACTGCACCAAGTTGCGCTGTTTAGAATAGACTGTGGGTGTTTAGGCTGATGGATGTAAGATCGATCAAGTGGAATGCTTTCAACTGAATGATAATGAGCCTGGTTTTAATAGCTCCATAATTTGTAAGATAGCAAAATGATGAACTAAAAGATTGCTTTATTTGGATTATCTATTTCATGCAGAAAACAGAATTCTTGAATTTCTAATACTTACTTTAAAAACCCTTACCTTTGTATTGCATCTCATTGTGATAAATTCCATAAACCTTTTCATGGGCACGGATTATATTCTTGATTGCCAAAGATCCAGTGTGCTGCAGCTTATGTTTGGATTTTATTAATTCTGAAGGGTTATCAAATGTTATCCAGGTTTCAACTTTATCTCCAAAAGTTGCAAATGCAAATCGCACGTAGTCCACAAATAAATCAACAAGTGCTTCATTCTCCCAGCCACCATACTTTTCAATCAGCTCGTGAGGCATGCCACTGTCATGCAGAACCAGCAAAGGTTTGAGATTTGCAATTATTATCTCATTTAGGAGATTTGAATGGCATTTTATTAAATCATTATCCATTTTATCAGATGTACCTTCAGGAAGAATTTTAGTCCAGGGAAGGATTACTTTGTAATGGGAAACTCCTTTTTTATGTAGATTGGAAAGATAATCTTTAAGGTGCCTTGAAAGAGGGTCCTGGCAAAAGTACTGTGCCTCTTCTTCCACACTGAAGTTGTTCTTCTGGTCTTTCTTTTCATCTTCTGCTAAATTCTTCACCAGAACATTTGTCAACGGACCAGCGATTACCATAAAATCAGACGATAATTTTATTTCTGCACCAGAGAAACCTATAAAAACTATGAAGAAGAAAATACTCCTGTGTAGCTCCATTTTACCAGTTGTGTGTGGTAGACAAGGGATAAGTCTCTATATCATAAATAGCAGGATGTAAATTGGTACTTTGGCCCTCCATTAACAGTTGAGGAGATACAATCTAAATTTCATTGTTTACAACACATCGTGATAAAATTTTAGATAATAAAAGTTACTTAACAGGAAAAGGCCCTCACCTGAATCTAAGTCTAAACATAACATGAACAAATACTTTTTACCTCCGTGCATTCTCCTCCTCTGTTGAAAGGGGGCTATTACCTGACAGATATAGATTCATCTCTAATGCTTACCAACAGTAGTAGTAGCTATTCTTTTTGTGATTGTGATTAATAGTAAGTCTATTTAACACTGGCAGGGGTAAAATCAGACTTGTGATATTGTATCTACAATTTTCAGCTTAGATTGCTCCAGAGGAAGTTCTGAGTAAAGGTCACTAGATCCAAAACGTTAACTCTGATATTTTCTTCACAGATGCTGCCAGACCTGCTAAGCTTTTCCAGCAATTTTGTTTTTTATATCAGATTATGTGCTCCTTCCAAATTCAAGGGCAGCTCCTGATGCTGATATAAAACACATTCTTGTTCTTTTAAGTCTTCAACTGATCATGAGATGTGTCACGGAAGATCAACTATGACAAACATAATTAAATAGAAACAGTTATAAAGTTTTTGAGAAGATTTGTAGGTTGGATTGTGGATGAGGTTATAGACATGCTCGCCAAGCCAGTGGGTTTGGTTGCAAATGTTTCGTCACCCTGCTAGGTAACATTGTCAGTGCGCCTCCGGTGAAGCGTCGGTGTTCTGTCCCACTTGTTATTTGCAAACCGATGTTAACTAGCAAGGTGATGAAACGTTTGCAATCAAACCTACTAGCTCGCCAAACATATCTACAACCTCAAATAGAAACGTTGTCTTGCGATCAACTAATCTGGAAGAATTGGGCAATGACATTAATGAGGACTATCACAGCTTTGATAGATACAGAGTAACATTGTTTAGAAAGCTCGATAAAATGCTATGACTAATAAAAGCTTGAATTAACTCCCATGTTAACAAACTAGCATGGGTAAGTATATTTTGTATGTTGCAACTATAGAATTAATTGCTAAAAGGAGATAATAAATTGAAGCTTCTCATCTTGCACTCATCAGGACTAGGACACAAAAGTTGAGAAAAGAGACACAAATTTATACAGTATGAGAAGAAGTCACTGATTGATTCAGCCATCATTGGCATAGAGCTGCAGCAAGAACAGTTAACTGTCAATCTTAGCTCTTAGACCAGACATGTAGATTCCGATTAGTCAGGGTGTTGCCACAGGAATGCAGCAGAGATTGGTGGTCTCCATAATCTTGTTTTTGGTTATAAAAAAAACATACAATGTATATATAAACTCTGTAAGACCACGAGATAAAGAAGCAGAAGTAAGCCATTCAGCCCATTGAGTCTGCTCTGCCATTCAATTAGATCACAGCTGATTGGATAATCCTCAAATCCACTTTCCTTCCTTTTCCAAATAACCCTCGATTCCCTTACTGACTAAAAAATCTGCCTATTATAGCCTTGAATATACCTAATGAACCAACCCATACAGGCCTTGACAACAAAGAATTCCATGGATTAATTACCCTGTAAGATGAGAAATATCTTAAATAGGCAACCTCTTACTCTGAGTGTGATACTAGAGCCCCACACAAGACAAAACAACCTCTCCGCATCAACCCTGTCAAGTCTGCTACTAATCGTATATGTTTCAACAAAGTTGCTTCTCTTTCTTCTAAACTCCAATGAGTACAGGCCTAACGAACTCAGTCTCTCCCAATAAAGTAGTCCTTCCATACCCTCATATCCATGGTAATTTCCGGGAATTCATTATGCCTACATAAAACAGAGTATTAACATTTCTGAAGAAGGGTCCAGACCCGAAATGACAGCTTTCCTGCTCCTCTGATGCTGCTTGGCCTGCTGTGTTCATCCAGCTCTACACTTTGTTACCTACGCCTATTCTTTGTTTTCTGTCTGAAAATAAAATCTCAATCAAAGCCCTAATCTCAATATTACTTCCAATCCCCTGGCTTTAATTTTTCACTCATCTCTTGTGAGACTTCATTAAAAGCTTTAGGAAAGATCCAAATATACCATATCCATTGGTTGTCCATTATTTACTCAATTACTTACATTCTCAACCTGAATGTAAGTTTGGCAAATGTGGCTTTCTTTTCATATATCCATGTTGGTTTTGTCTAATCCTTTTGATATTGTCTAAGTGCCCTGATATCACATCCTTTAGAATAGACTTAGCATTGTCCCTACTACTGATTTTAGGCTCCAGGCATGTAATTCTGTTTTCACCCTTCCTCCTCATTTCTAAATATTGGGGTTGCATTTTCGACTCTCCAATCTCCTGGAACTGTTCCAGAATCGACAGAATTTAAGAAGAGGAGAACCAGTGCATCCATTATTTCCATGGTCATTTCATTTCATGGCTTTGGGTATAAATGATCAGGTTTTAGGTACTCCTGCAATGATTTCAATTGTTAGAACTTGAAACGTGGCTAGCACATTCTTCATACCAAATGGCATGACTTTAAAATGGTATAGTCCATTTGGTGTCACAAAAGCTGAAATTTCTTTCACTTTTTCAGATGAAGGTACCTGCCAGTATCCTCTCTTATATTTCTAACTTAGAAATACAAGTTGCTCATCCTAATACAATCTTCCAAATGTGGAATAAGAATAGGAATCAAAATTTGTAACTGCATTGAATTTGTAATAGTCCACACATAATCATTGGGCAACATCTTGTTTTGGCACCATTACTGTGGGTGAGCTCCACTCCCTGCAACTCACTTCAATTATGTCATCTCTGAGCATGTTTTCAATCTTTTTGAATCTGTGCCAACTTTAGAGCGTTAAACCTATAAGGATGTTGCTTAACTGGAACAGCATGTCCCATATTTATATCATGCATAATCAAGTTATTACTTCCCAATTTATTCCCACGTATCTGCCCATGTAATTGTGATAACTCTTTCAGGTCATTTCAATTTTCCTCTGGAAGGTAACTCAATGATTTATCCCATTTTTTGAGAACTTCCTCATTGTCCAATTTGACTTGATGAATGTCCAATTCAGAATCATCTGAACCTCGTTCTTCACTCTGAGTTGTAACATTCCCCATCAAAATACCTTTTGAGTATATTCAAATGACACATTCTGTGAGATTTCTTCTATCTGGCATTGTTATCAAATAATTCACCACACTCAATTTCCTTTTGATTTGATTTGATAAGGCCCACTAAACTTGTCTTCACAGGTTAACCTATCACTGGGAGTAACACTACACTTTATCTCTACCAGCAAAATTGTGAATTTTTGATTTCTTGTCTGTTTCTTATTTCATCACATGCTGTGCTACTTTTAAATGCAATTTAGCCAACTCACCTGCTCTATTTAACCTCGCTCTAAAATTTGACATATAGCCCAAGGACATTGTTTCTGAATGCTGATTCACCAATTTCTCCTTAATTAATTTCAGTGGTCCTCTCATCTCATGCCCAAAAACAAATTCAAATGGACTGAATTTCGTAGATTCGTTAGGTGCATCACTAAATGCAAAAAATATAAATGGAATTCCTTTACTTCAATCCTCTAGATGGTCTGTAAAATTTGATGCCACCGTTCTAATACTTCCTGTGATTCTGGATGGTACATGGTAGATTTGAATTGTTTTATTCCTAAACTACCCATACCTTCATTGAATGCTTTGATGTAAAATTTACCCTTGATCTGATTGTATTTCTGTGGGTAGTCCGGATCTATTAACAATTTTAAGTAACTCTTCTACAATCCTTTCAGGCATGATGGAATGGTCTCTGGAAATGAGTCCCAGAAGTCATACAACACCAGGTTATAAAAACTGAAAGAACTGCGGATGCTGTAAATCAGGAACAAAAACAGAAGTTGCTGGAAAAGCTCAGCAGGTCTGGCAGTATCTGTGAAGAAAAAAATCACAGTTAATGTTTCAGGTTCGGTGGCCCGTCCTCAGAGGGTCACTGGACCCGAAACATTAACTCTGATCGTTTTCTTCACAGATGCTGCCAGACCTGCTGAGCTTTTCCAGCAACTTCTGTTTTTGACACCAGGTTATAGTCGAAATGGAGAGAGGAGCACAGGCACAGAATTTATAGGCAGACAGATCATTGCAAGATAATTCTAGATAATTAAGAGTGCCAAAAATAGTTCAAATGGTATGAGTGGAGTATTGACAGGCTGAATTACAAGTCTTTGCAGGTGATCAAAAATGTCAAAAAGTGTGAGTAAAGTGTCAATAGTTGAATAGCAAGTGAAGGGATGGCCTATGATCTGATTAATTAAGACAGACAGATAATTACAAAGTATCAAAAATTAGATGGTGTTGATCATCATCATCGGATCCCTACAGTGTGAAAACTGGCCCTTCGGTCCAACAAGTCCACACCAACCCTGAACACTATGGGCAATTTAGCATGGCTAATCCACCTAGCTTGCACATGTTTGGACTGTGGGAGGAAACCAGAGCACCCAGAGGAAACCCACACAGACATAGGGAGGATGTGCAAACTCCACACAGACAGTTGCCCAAGGGGGGGAAATCAAACCTGCGCTCCTGGTGCTGTGAGGGAGCAGTGCTAACCACTGAGCCACTGTGCTAGAGTCAAATGCACCTCCACACTCTGGAAATCAAGTAGACACACCCGTTGTGGTCAACAAATACTAGTTCGCACTTTTTGTTTTAGGTAGAGGTCCCGCGCAATCAATTAAAAGTTAAGTGTAAAAGGTTCCTCAAATGAGGAATGGGTACTAAGGATGCTGGTTTTATCACTGCTTGAGGATTTCCTGTTACCTGACACATATTACATGTGCAGCAAAAGTCAATCACATCCTTATGCAGTCCAGGCCAATGAAAATGCTTTTGTATTTTGGCTTAATTTTCCTTATTCACAAATGACCTCTACT